TCTCCTGTTTGCGATTCCCTTGTAACTAATACCATTAGCTAGGTATTAGCTAGCCTTGCAAGCTAGGCAAATTACAGGGACAGACTTTAAGATTTGCCACTTTGGTGCTGTGACTTACCATCATAGTCATAGATTTAGATCAGAAAGGCATCTTAGAGGACATAAAATATAACTCCTTATGGAGATGAAAGCTGTATTAGTTAAGATTCTGAGACACAGACCACAGTCTAGAGAGCAAGAAAAGACATGCCGGGTTTCTCCTTAGGACATTTGGGGTTTTAGTTTTGGTTTTCCTCCCTAATCCTATAACTTGGTGTGTTAAGGCTTCTGCCTCTAAAAATAGATATGTCAAACTCATGACTCTGAGGCAGCCTGCAGCCAGAACCAAAGTAGAAATATAATTGGGAAATGTTTAACAAAGTAAATAAAAATACAACATAGATAATGTTACTCTGTGGTTTTCTAAGTCAATTTGTGGCCTGCAAGGGCTTGTTTCTACTTGAGTTTGACTTCATGGCTCTGAAAGACCAATAGCAGAGAAACCTTGGAGCTTTAAATGAGCAGAGGCTATTACAAGACCTCCTATGAGGAGTATACAGTTTCTGTTGGGTATCACTAGTCTCAGGAAGATCAAGCAAGGAGAAAGATATAGTAGCCCTGCCTGGACTCTAGCTAAAGTCACAAGCCAGAAGTAGAGAGAAGATCCACTCCAGCCAGCTCTTCCACAACCATTTCCAAACCAGAAACCATATCCTGGAGGTACTTAGATCCTGGGACCTCCTTCTCCTGATTGGTGACTGCCCTTCCAGAAATACTATTTCAGTTCTGGCTTTGTATATATAGATTTCCCCCCACCCCTCCTAAATCCTGCTCTATAGCTCTGGTACCAGGAACCATGATCAAATAAATTCTGCCATTGTCACCTCATACACTATGTTGAACCGCCATGTAACTTTCCAGACCACAGGGCTATGCCCTGGCTGCTACTGCCCTTTCTCTGTCATCTCTCCCATCATAATGTAAGTTCTGTAAGGACAGGAGTTATCTTTGCTTTCTGTATTTGAATCCCCAGCACTTAACAAATGTTGTTCAGTAATTGTCATGTCCAACTCTTAGTTATCACATATCAAGTTTTCTTAGCAAAGGTACTGGAGTGGTTTGCCATTTCCTTCTCCGGTAGATTTAAGGCAAGCAGAGGTTAAGTGGATTGCCCAGGGTCACACAGCTAATGAGTGTTGAACTCAGGTTTTCTTGACTCTGGGTACAGCACTCTATCCACTGAGCCAACCTAGCTACCCTAGCGAATAGAAAATACTTAAACAATTTTCTTTAATTCAGTTACATACTCAACAGAGTTGCACTTTGAAGCAATGGGCAACAATTACAATACTGGTCCACGCAATACAATATAAGCAGTAATACTACACCACAACTACCGATGCCCAACAGAAACTATGAAACCAGAAGATTACCCAGAAGGCGGAAAAGAAGAATACAGTCACCATAAGAGGAGAGAGGAAGTCCAGTGAGAACAACGTAGTGACATCTACAAAAGACATTGGCAACCACATAGCAGGGGAGGGAAGTTGCTCCTCCATGTGTACCCTGGTCATATGTGTTCTTTTGATTCTTCTCATTGATGGTATATGTATTTGTGGGAGTGTATGTCCCAGGCTATTCAGGGACATTGCTACTTTCCTATTATTCATTTACTGTTTATTAAATTTCTTTAATTTAAATTAATTGTATCCTCTTGCTGATTAGCAAAGGCAAATGTAAAAATTTGGGCTCATGAGCTATGGCTTTTGAGTGGCTACAGACTCATAGAATATCTTGAACCTGGAGTTGCCATACCTTAGGGACCTATGATGGAAGTTGGGAGTCATGCCTGAGTTCAAAGGCAAAAACAATAGGTCCCAGGTCAAGCCCTACTTGGTCATTGTTTGGGCCCTGACTGGCTCAGAATGAATATAAATAGCAGATGTTTCTATTTTGGCCAGAAACCCTGAGGGTCTTCCCCTTCCAGAATGATATTTTTTTTTTACTAGAAAAAAGAGGTCATTCTCTGCCTCATTCCTTACCTAGACTTAGTCACTGAATGGCTATCAAATTGTCAAACTGATACTGTTAGAGACCTTAGCTTAAAAAAGCCAAAGTCTCCCACTGTATCCCAAGCCATCTCCAGTCATGCTGATCTATATCCTGTAACTGGATTCAGATGGTTTTGGAGGAGAAAGAGAGGCTGATGACTTGCATGTCATGGCATCACCTCCCTGATGTCATGTTTCGAGAAAGAAGGATAAACAAGTTCCTTGAGGACAGAGATTGTATCTAATCTTATATTTATATTTCCCGATGCTTGCACAGTGAATTAAAAATGAAATGAAAAAAATTAAATGCTTAATCAATATTTGTTTAATTGAATTACGTCATGATATGGTCAAGTAATTTGCAGCCACTTTTTATAATGTCTTACCCAAATGGAAACACCACCCATTCTGACCTTCTGATACTTGAGTGTTTACATTTTCTAGGCATCTAGATTTTTAGTGAAATTAATTTTATATATTTCATAGGGAATTAATTTCATATGATATTGTGGGACATGGAAGATGGGAGATAAGATGGAGAATTAAATGGTAAGAACAGGCTGGAACTAAGACAAAAGAGACAGATTTGGAGGATCAGAGAGTTTTATCAGCCATAAGGACTGCCAGTCAATTAGCATTCACTGAGTTCCTATGAGTTCATAGCCTGGCAACGGGTGTTATAACAATATAACTGAATGTTCCCACTTGAAAAAGGTGACCTTCATTGAAGAGGACATATAAAAATATATGTGCTACCTATGAGAAGTCAGTCACTAATCCTTTTAGGAAATTGGGATTAAGTGACTTGCCTAGGATCACACACAGCTAGTGAGTGTCAAGTCTGAGGCCAGATTTGAACTCAGATCCTCCTGACTTCAGGACCAGTGCTCTATCCACTGCGCCACCTAGCTGTCCCTGTCATTCACTAATCTTGAGCTTTGTTTAGGCTTACCTGTCAATCATTAGATCTACCCTCATCTGACTAGAAACTCTTCCTACTAAGTCCTATTGTTGTTGTAATTACTTAAACCTCAATGTCACATAGGAAAACAAAGATTTCATTAGATTAGAGAAAATGCACGGTGATATCAAACTCATTCATGAGAGTTGAAGTAAATTTTCTAAGTAGATGTCTGTTCACATTTAACCACAAAATTTGGTCTCCAAATCAAAAGCTCTTCTTTCATTGAAGTCCTGGCCTAGTTCTGTCTTAGAGCACAACAAACAAGGAAAGACAGAGATGTAAGACTTGCAGCATAAAATAGCTGCAGACAATTTGTCTCAAAGCAGGGTTTTTGATAAAGCTTGCCTTATAGGTACCAGAACAAGATGTCAGCAATGAGAGATGCTGCTGCCCTCATGGATACTAAAAGATTAAAATATCACACAGATGTATCTTCCTCCATCACAGCTATTCCATAAGCTGGTCAATCTACTTTGGGTTCATAATGATATTCTCTCATCAATTGTATTATCCCACCTGACCCTTACTCCATTTGGGCAGCGTCTATGCTCTCGGCTACCCAGTCCACATGCAAACACTCCTCTTCTAAATAGGTATAAATAAGTAATAAAAGACAAGGCTACTGGGCCACTGACTTTTGGAATAGAGAGGATATAAACTAAATAGAGAATATTTGATAAACTGTATTTTGGTGTGTGACCCTGGGCAAGTCCCTTAATCCTGCCAGCATCAGTTTCCTCATCTGTTAAATGAGCTGGAGAAAGAAATGGCAAACCACTCCAATATTTTTGCCAAGAAAATCCCAACTGGGGACACAAAGAATCAGATATGACTTAAAGGACTGAACAATAATAACTAATCTAGGAAATTGAGTTTGAATTTGACTCTGGGACAATTGAGAGGCTTCCTGATTTAATGATGTGTGTGTATGTGCATGTGTGTGTGCATATGTGTATTCTGCCCAGCTTACTTAGCAATTACTTAGCTAGCTATTTTAACTTACTAACTACAACAGATACTCTGCCCATCTACTATCAGGACAAAAGTTAAATGCAAATAAGGGGATGGGAAAGGGAATAGCATTGTGATAGTATTTACCATGTGCCAGGGACTGTACCAAGAATTTTTTACAAATATTACTTCATTCTATCTTCACAACAACCCTTCAAGGTAGGTGCAATTTTATCCCCATTTACAATGAAGGACACTGAATTTAAATGACTCCCCCAGGGCCACATAGCTAGTCAGAGTCTGAAGCTAGATTTGAACTCAAGTCTTTGTGTCTCAAGGCCCAGGGCTCTATTCACAATGCCATCAGCTGCCTCTAAGGTCATGTTCCCTTCATTTCAATCCTGATAGATCACCCTCCCTCCAAATTCCCAAAGACCTCTTTGCTTAAAATTAGTGAATAGTGATGGAGGTGCGGGAGAGCAGAGACTTGAGGCAGTGTGGAGCAGCAGAACTTGGGGGTGCAGTAGAACAGAGAAGGAATCTCCTACTTCATAGAAAGACTCTTGTCTCCAGCAAGACTGATGAACAATGGCCCCCAGACTTCCTGTTCTTTGAACCTTCTCTCCCCTCTCCTCTGCTGTCACCACCCCCACCTCTGCACCCCTACCCCCGATCTTCTGCTCACTAACATGTCTTTCCTTGCCATAACATCTCTGCTCCGTTCTCCCCTGCTGGCCCTTACGTCTACAGGATTCCTGTTTTTCTGCACTATACTTTTCCCTTTTCTGAATCTCTCCCCACCTATTTTCCCTTTGGTGACTCAGTCAATAGTCACCAACATTTATTAAATGCCTCTTATGTGCTAGGCCCTGTAGATACAAAGAAAGGCAAAACCACATCAATCCCAGTTTGTAAGGAACTCACAGTCTAATGAGGGAAACACCACACAACTATGAACATGTAAAATATATATACAAGATAAACTGGAGCTGGTCTCAGGGGAAGGCAGTAAGATTAAGTAGGACTGGAAAAGATTTGATCTGTGGGGTCAGGTGTGATTTGCCTAAGTGCAAGCTTCTCATAATAAGGGTGGCAGCCACAGTGATGCCCACCAGGCCCCCAGCCAGGCCTATAATATAGAGGAGTGTCTCCATTGGCTCAGATGGTGGTGTCAGCATCTCAGGCTCTGTGGGAATGAAGGAAATATGAGGTCAGAGAGCACAGAAAAAAAATAGGTTTTGATTTTTAGCACACTGGATCTGGAGGCAAAAGTCATTTGGGGGGAGCAATAGGAGACCTGGATTTTAGGAGGAGTTTGGTGCTTAGGGAGGTAGAAGAAAGCAGTCACTGAGGAGGGTAGGAGGACAGAGGTCCCCAATGTATTGATTCATACCCCAATGCTTGAAAAGTGGCTTTTCCAGGCCCCAGTGTTCAACCACACAGTCATAGACATCATCAGTTGGGGGAAGGAAAGTGAGATAATGGAACTTGTGGAAAGAATAGTCATCCCGAGGCATGAAGGTGGTCTCAGATACCCCTGTGGTGACTGGCTCTCCATGGCACAGCCATGTGACATTAATCACTGGGGGTGAGAACTTATCAATGTGGCAGATGAGGATGTTGTGTTCTTCCAGTTCCATGGGCTCCTTGGGAAACACTGTCACCTCTGGAGTGGCTGGAGGAGAACATAGCCTTGGTGAATGGCCCTATAGTGAGTATAGCCTCACAGCTGAATCCCAGAACTGCAATTTTGCCTTTCCCATGAAATAGAGGATTCAGGAAACACACGTTCCTTGAGCACTGAAACTTTCCCCCTTAAATTCCTAAATCAAATCTGTGAAGCTTCGTTATACAGTAAATCTTAAATGTAATCATCTTTTAAATTTTCCTAAGTTCCAGGAATTTAATAATAATAATAACAATAATAATAATAATAACAACAGCTACATTTATATAGCACTCACTATGTGTCAAGCACAGTGCTAAGCATTTTATAATCATTATCTGATTTGATCCTCACAACAATCCAGGGAGATAGGTGATATTATTATCCTTATTTTATAGATGAGCATACTGAGGCAAACAGAGGTTAAGTGACTTGCCCAGGGCCAGTAAGTAAGTAAGCATTTGAGGCCAGATTTGAACTCAGGTCTTCCTGACTCCAAGCCTGGTGCTCTATCCACTGTGCCACCTGGATGCTAATTTGGACCCAAAATCTACTTTCCTCTGAGCCCTTTGATTTTCAAGTGAGAGCTGACAAGTCCTGCTCATTCCATGAATGACCTGGGCAGATGCCCCTGGTGGCAGGAACAAGATTCCTAAGTAAAAAAAAGTTTCTGAGGCTTCAGGTAGGTTGAACCAACCCAGAATGTATAGGACTGTATAGGAGAGACTGAATATTTTTATCCCCTCTGACCCCAACCAGGAACTCTAGGGAAAAGGCATTGATTACTAGAAATAAAACCTTCTTCTAAGAGGGTCCAGAATTTTCATGAGTTGGGGAAAGTCTAAGTATATTACAGAGCAGGAACCCCTAGTATCCTCCTCCCCACCAATACCACACTGGCTACCACCAGGGAAGAGAGCAGAGTGGGAGAGGTGTATACCAATGGTGTCCTGGGTGTGGTTGGTTTACTTGATAAGTTGGTTCAAGTTAGCCACGTCCACAGCGATGTCACCTAGCCCAATCTGTGCATCAAAACTGAAGATATGGCCAAACTTAAGAAGCCACCAGACTGTTTCCTTCTGGTCAAAGTCCACATGGAATTGCTCATGCTCATCAAATTTGTGCAGGTACTGCCCAGATGGTTTGTGGGTCTGAACAAATGTCACAGAGCTGATTACATGGTCTGCAGTGAGAGGTCATAGAGACACTGGTCATTAAAGGTGAGGAGGAAGAAAGAGGAAGTTTCAAAATGATGAGGAATTGGATGAAGAAACAAAAAGGTGGTTTGGGGAAATGAAAAGACTGACAATATGAGGCAAGATAGGAGAAAGAATGGAACTGGGAAGAGAGAGAAGCTGAGGAGTAGAGAAGGGTTGTATCAGTTCTCCCTGGGGGAAAGTGAAAGTAGAAGAGACCACATTGTACAAAGAAATTTCCCCTAAACAATACTGATAGAACTGGTGAAGTGAGAAGCAGCTGAATGCACTGGTATTTCCACCATGGTTTTTAGGAGCAGCAGACAATGCAGCAGACAGTATATCTGGGTTCAGATAGTCCTTTGTGGAGGTGGAATGTAAAACTTGTAGTGAGCAGAGGCGACACTGAGAATGTTGTCCTGGCACCTGGATGTCCTTGGCCTGTGCCTTCATTTTGGTGGATGGAGGTTTTCATAGGTATGAGTCTTGGGCAGTGGCTTATGTTGCTCCTAAGACCCCTATACAACATACTCCCCAATTGGAAGAGTAAACAATGATGGAAGCCATGCTCAAATCTGGCCTAGAGTGGCATTCCTGAATTGAACCAATTGAACTTATTGCAGAGTCCCTGTTCCTAGTAACTTGTACGTGGAGGTTGACTTCAGATACATGTGATACCAGAAGGCCTAGGGTTTCATGGATTATACATTCTAGATTTCCTGATATGGTCTCAATTTCAAATAGTTAAGCCCATTCACAAAGTCTGGGAGAATCTTTTGGTAGAGCATATATATTGATTGTGGAGCAGGGGTAGGTAAGGAGTTTGGTCATTGGACTTGTTCATAAAGAGACACATAAAAGCTGCACCAGAAAAGGAGGGTCCAGGAGCACAGTCTTGTGAAGGTTGCAAAGGGGATGGAGGACCCAAATCCAAGAAGGGGTCTGAGGTCTGCAGGGCCTCCCAGGCCCACATGTGAACCATTCTAGACAATCTCTTGCAGCCCAAACTCCCTGGGGGCTTCTAGCACAGAACAGTGACTGGTCACACAAACTCCTTAATCCTCTATATGAGACGCTTGGAGTCAATGGGCAAAAAGAATGAGCTCACTTTAGCATTAACCTCTTACATCCCTCCCATGAATCCCAATCCCCAAAATAAGAAGCCAGAGAGTTTTGCACACCATCCCGGTAATCTCTACTATGTCATAGAGCATAGGGGTCATAGATTTAAAGCTGGAAGAGATTTCATAAGGAACCAATCCAACCTCTTCATTTAACAGGTAAGAGAATCTGAGGACCATTGAGGTTAAGTAACTCATTCAAAGTCACCCAGGTAATAAGCATCAGAGATGGCATCTGACTCTTTCCACTGTATAGCTAGTCTCCTAATAAAATTCAGTTCCAAGAGTCAAATAACTATTTGACTATTTACTAATAAAATGTTTCTAATGGAGCAGATGTCTTCTCCCTTCACTCCCTCCACATGACATGGGGCATGATGTTGAAAACTCAGTTTCCCAGTTCCATCCTCACATTCCTGAGGAGGTGTGTTAGCCCCACATTGGGGACTCCAGAATCTACCTGACAACAGAAAGTCTCACCATTAGTGGCCCTGGTTCTTTGTTTGATCAACCGGGCAGCCAGGATGAGGATCCCCAAGACTGAGTCTACACTTGAAGTCATTCTCCTTTCAGAAACACGAAAAGTGAAAAGTCCACAGACATTTTGCAACACCTGAGACAGAAGGACGTGGTGCCAGACTGGCTATGGTTAACAGCCCAGAATGAAGGAATTTTCACTAAGCAAGACTTGGCAAATCAAGAGAGCCTTTGAGTTGATGCCTCTGTTGCCTGGTAAAGAGTCTAAGATGAGAGGAAGAACACAGTAAAGAAGGAAAGTAAAGTATTGGAGTTTCAAATTTATATATAAGTGAAATTAAATAATATATGTTTGGCTAGAGTTCAATAGGCCTCTACATTTAAAATCTACTAGTTGGTAGGTTTTGAAAACTTAAAAACTTTAAAAGCTTTACAAAACAAAATAGCCTATGCTAGCAAACGCTAGTATCTACTTTGTAGTTTCGGAAGATATTTTAATTTCATAACCAGATTAATTCAGTTTATTCTCATAAAACTATTATTTTTTAATCTTTGTGATTTATAGTATCTTTAAATCCTTAAAGATGCAAGAACCCATTATGACTTAACATCACAAAATGTATCATTAATAATATGTCCTTAAATTGTAAATTTCTAGAACTTCCCATGAGGATTTTCATAAGAATATATAATATCCAGTCTTTTTGTGTCAAACCAGGACTCTCAATTGATAAAGAGGAATCTCCACTGAGTTAACTATCCTCCAAACAGTTGTTCGAATATTTACTATTCAAGTGTTTCTATTGGAGCAAGTGCCTTCTCCCTCCATTCCCCACCACCACCATTGGACCATGTTCAACTATCATTTCTAGTAAAGCTTGGAAAGGAAGACAGCAGAAGGAAACCCACAACACTAATACATCTGATCACTAAATACAACTCTGAAGAACTCAGGTTATTTGGTTCTGCATTAAGTAGCATGGAAGGAAACATCAGATTTGAAGTTAGGACGCATATTCCTGTTCCTGACTGTGCTATGAACTGCATGACATGGGGCATGACATTGAGAACTAAGTTTCCTGTGGTACAAAATGAGGGGCCTGCCCTAGACAGCCCCTAAAAGCCTTATTGCTTTTAAAGGATTGTATAAAATCTTAAGATTGTAACCCAATGGGAGAACTCATGCTCACAAGAACAAGATAAAAGCCTAACAAAGTGACTTCTTAGAAGCATAACGTGGAAGAGCATGGAATCATTACCAACTATGAGCCAGTTATGCACAGTGGTGAGGAGATTGCATCCTTCCTCTGCATCTCCCCCTCCCCTTAAATACTCTCAACATGGCCTAAAATTTTCTCAGTGTGACCCAGACCTCTTTTTCTATCTCCTCCAGCACTACATCTAGTACAATGTCAGTGAGAGCAACACTCAACCCCATTCTCCATCCCCCACAAATACATGCAAAATTATATAGCTACATACAGGGACTCAGCAACTTTAGGCCTGAGACACAAGGATAGGAACCTTTTTTGATTTTTTTCTAATAGAATTTAGATTTTTTTTAGTTGTGAGTAAATGACTGTTATATACATAAGGAGCTATGTAGTATAAGCAAACTCTATAGAGTTTGTTTTTGTTATTCAGTCATTCAGTCATGTCCAACTCTACGATGGAGTTTTCTTGGCAAAGATACTGGGGTGGTTTGCCATTTCCTTCTCCAGCTTATTTTACAGATGAGGAAACTGAGGCAAACTGGGTTAAGTGACTTGCCCAGGAACACACAGCTAGTAAGTGTTTGAGGTCAAATTTGAACTCAGATGCTTCTGACTCCAGGCCCAATGCTCTATCCGCTACACCACCTACCTGACCCTGAACAGAGTTTAGTGAATGGCTTGGGGAGAGATGGGCCCTCTGATTGCCTTACTCCTTCCTGAAAACAACACCCTGGAGTGATAGGACCCACTCATGGCAGGGGCTAAAGCCAGAGATAGTTTTATCTGGATTGGATAGCAAGTAAAAATCTTGTATGTACCCAGTACAATAGCTTGGGGAGGCTAAATAACTTGGGGCCAGATATCCAGAGAATTGCAGCCCAGACCTCAAAGGAACAGGGTGGGTATTTGGGGCAACAGAGTGCTGGGGGCATCCTGAGAGTACTGAAGGTGGTGATTATGAGCATAGAGGGTTATTATATAAATAATTAGCATCATTTAACTCTTATCAACTCTTGCCTCAAGAGGTGAAATGAGCCTGGGAGGAAAACTAGCAAAGTAGCAAAAGTAGCAAAAAAGACAAATAAGCCTCTCATCCGCAAGGAATCCTAGAAGCACAGTTGTCCTATGACCATCAACCAAACCTGTTGCCTAACTTAAGAAACTCTTCGTCTTCTTCACCTCTCAATTTTTGCACTGAGCTGTTTCCGTGGGAATGCATATACGAGCATGACTAGTGGAAGAAGATGCAGAGGAATGGGTCCAGGGAAAAACCAGGACCAGAGTTGGGCAAGAGAGTCAGCTGCCTCAACATCTAACACACAGAGGCATAATACAAACGACACAATGTAACATTACTTTTCAGGACTGCACTTATTATTTTTTTTTTTGCAAGGCAATCAGGGTTAAGTGACTTGCCCAGGGTCACACAGCTAGTAAGTATCATGTGTCTGAGGCCAGATTTGAACTCAGGTCCTACTGACTCCAGGGCCAGTGCTCTGGCCATTGTGCCACCTAGCTGCCCCCTTGCATTTATTTTCTATAGTAGAAAATCCTGCTCTCCATGGTATTCGGGGATTTATTTTGTGATGTCAATTCATGTATTACAGTCGAGGCTCATGGATTCCATTAGACAGTGACTCAAAGAGGGTGCTTAGAGCACACACATGCTTTGACCTCATTTTAGTCCAAAGTTAGCTGTACACAGCAGACAGAAGGAATGCAGGGTCATGTCACAGCATGCTCAGACACTCACATGAAAAAGAGCCAAATTTGCCCAGTGGTGCAAAGTGTCAATTCGGAACCCACACATTGCAGTCCTGCCTAGTGACTGATACTGCTGCTTATATCTGATGCTAATTGGTTTCCTGATTAGAAGCTGCTCAATTCAGAGGGATTCGGAGGCATTGTGTTCTTCCAGATGTGGAGGGCAGACCTTACTGGAAACATGCTGCAACCTTTAATCACCAGTCTCATTCTTGTCTCCAACGTGGTGTGTGTGGAGCTTCTGGGAGGCCCCTGTATGACAGTCCTATTGATGGTACTGAGCACACCCACAGCCTGGGGCAGGGACATTCCAGGTAAGTACAAAACATCTACTTCCTAGAGAAAGCAAGCAGAGGCTGAGATCCTTTAGGAGAGAAAACTGGGCTTACCGTCTCTTATTTTCCATACTACTTTCAATGCAAAGAGATTCCTTGATCTTAGGACAGAGTTACAATTGCAAGACTCTTAGGGAAGAGAAAAAAGGGATGGCATTGTTTGGTCTGGTGTCATTAGCAATAGGACACAAAACTAGACTAGGAAAATGTTCTCCAGAAAGAAGGATGAATCTTGAGAATCACAAGTCTCTATACCTGGGATATACCTGAGATACCAAGTCCTCTTCTAGGCCATGTGGAGAAACATCTTAGAAATCCCTGAAGAGTGTAGAGGAGAGTTATAAGGGTTACTAAGTAGCCTTTGGTTACCATTAACAAGGAATCTGTAGTCCTATGGTCAGCTAGCAGGAGGACACACTAGGGACAAAGTCTCAGTGTGTTTGTCCGTTGTCTCTTATTCTATGTGGAAGTCAGGTTCAGGACTTATCTACAGACTTAGAGTAGCAAGAGGGTTTACTGAATAATATAAAAATCACATGCTCATGCTCACTTAGACAAGAAGGGTTCAAGGAAACATTTCCACCCGCATTTCATCATCATCCAAAGTTCCAGGTTTAGACTGATTCTTAGAAGTCAAGCTGAGAGTGTTTGTAATTGGAACTTGGGCAATTGGCTAGGCTAGCCTCAGGCCACCGTCTGAATGGTCTGTAAAGATGATAGAGGCTGGAGGGTTTTGTACTAAGGCAGACAAAGAAAGAGTATATAAATCCATTGTCCAAATTTTAGCTAAATGCCTTATCTGGAAGCCACTTTTAAATACTACAATAATGAATAGGTCAGATGTACCAAAACACAAAAGGTTAGAAATCTTTTGGAGTCAAGGTCTGCATTCATAGGCATTCACCAATCACTGTAATTTTCTCATCTTCAAGTCTTCTCCCCCACCCCCCCTCAACCCCCCCATATGCCTATATATAT